CTTTAAATTATATAAATAGAAAAAAGTACATTTTCCAAAAACAAGATTTCATTTAGCTGTTAAATCGAAAATTCGGAGATATTTTTTCCGATTGGAAGTCTGCAGATTCATATCTCTTAACTTTTATATAATAGTGGATATCTTTTGCCTCATGTTTTCAAATAAAAGCGTGTAACGTTTCAATATCAACAGGGGAACATTAGAGACGAAGGAGCTTTACTAGTGTTTAAAAATTAAGAAGGATAAAATGGGATATTTACAATAGTAAAAAAAATGTTTCTGAATTTTTAGTTCCTTTTTACAGCTGAGTAGAAGCTTGTTTTAGAAAATGTATTTTATATTTTATTTTTCTTCTTTATTTTTAGCATCTATGTCAAATAACTAGTCTTAGAACGACCTCAGCTTAACTTGGGTGTGCGAATTAACGTTGCTCATTATATGCCGGACCTTAATTTCGCCTGATATGCTGCTCATTTCCGATTGTCTCAATCATGCCGTTTATTTTTTAATATTGTACTTTACTTGCACCTAAGGAAACTTGGTCTTGGTTTGATTTTTTTTACTTTTCCTAGATAGGTTGCAGACCAATGCCTATGACGCCTATCTCACCGGGTCATTTATGGTACGGCTTCTTATTTGCGTCTGTTATCTTATTGTGTCTTCATTGCTAGTCTTATTGGATTTAAAATGACGTCACCTTGCTGATAGCATTCAACTCTTTGAACCCATCCATTTGATTTCCATATTAGAAATGATGAATCGTCATTTAAAATTTCAGCTCAAATGGTCCAGGTTAACTGGGTTCAACAAATGAAGAAGGTTGAAATCGTATTGCGATAATATTCAACTCATCAAACCCTTTCATTTGATATCCATATTAGCATCTGCCATATTGGATTAAAAATGACGACATTTAATTTATTGTGTATTGGCATGAGAACCAAACGCTCATATAAAAGTTTAGCCCTATTGTTCAAGGTTGACTGAAAAAACTAAAGAAGGTGTAAATCTCCATGTTATGATGGCCGCAAATTTGGATTTAGAATAACGTCACTTTACTTGTTGTAGTTCTCTTGTAAAGCATTTTTGTTCGATACCCATATGATAAGGCTTCCTATGAAAATGATAAATCGTGATTTTGTAGTATCCGCCATATTGTATCCAATATGGTGGCGTTCAATTCATTTTGTACTCGAATTAGCTCAATTGGTTGAGCTTAACCAGTTCAACATCGAGTTTCATAATTTCGCCCACACGTACGTACTAACATGTAACAAACAACTATCTTATAAAAGCTTCTACCAAAGGTTATGCTCCATACTAGAATTTTTCACCATGAAATGCTATCGATAATACCCAGAAGAGCATCGTAAAATATCATTACAGAAAGAGTTTCACGTCTGACGCATCATTGATATCTCCTACACACAATTATAACGAGATCATGGTATACACATTATTGAAATCCCTACAATTCAAATCAAAGAATATACCTAAGTCATGAAACTCTTCACACATATTAAGTTGCGAATTATCAGTGTTATATATGAATCTGATTGGAACAAGTTTGCGCGTAATAGACATAGTGTAGCATTTATCAACATTCAGGTACAGCTTGTTACGGTGACACCACTTATTTAGGTTGCGCAGGTCGTTTTGCAATATATTACAGCCCAACTAACAATTATCACTCCTATTAGAGTTGCAAGAACGATTATACAGTCTTCCTTAGACAGCATTGTATGCTGTAAGAACATTGGCAAAACGCTCTTAGAACAGCTATACAATCGGAATGGGCACACCTAATAGGACACTTCAGTCATTTAAGAGGTTGTATAGGAGCTGCAGGTAACAGTTATACAACAAAAGTGTAAACCTCTTGCAGCAGCTATAGAACATTTGCGTGGGTGCAAGATTCAGTTTTTGTCAACTATACAACTATTCTGTTACATGATTCTACTTTATTGCAACCAAACTATTTCTTTTGTATTGTATAGGCGATCACTAACACATTACAGTCATCTTGTTTACTTACATATCGGCCATTGTGAATTTCATTCACAGGTATATGATACACTTCTACACGGTGATATAGGGCTATTGAATTACTTGCGCAGCAAATTTTATTGAGATTATCGTGCAAAGTAGTTACGCAATTTCTACGGGCTTCGTATTTGATTCAAAATGATCAAAAGAATGTTTAGATTTTTAAGATGAAAAACTGAACTTACCTGCGTTAAATCTTCCACAAATCCTATATTTAGACACAATTACACTAATGTGTATCACGTTATATCTGTAATGTCGAACTGAAACATATTTAATTAATTTTCAATAGAGGAATATATTTTTGCCCAATATGGCGGGTGGTTATGTATAATCATGGCATTGTCCATGTTGTCTTTGGTTTATTAGAATATTTTGGTGTTGTCTGCAAGTTTTATACAACAATTTGACAAATTTCTAAAATGAAATACGGACAGAGTCGAATAATTTACCCAGAATTTCTACCAGATCTATATCTCCTGTTTGAACAGTTGATAAAACCTTTAAACCAATATGCATGTCTTAAAATATTAACTAATAATAAAAATAATAATTTTAACTAAAAAGATGACATCAGAAAGTTAGGCTATGGTGAAGTTGTATACCAACATATTTAGCAACAAATGTCTGCCGAGCACAGCAATTTTGTACTATAAAAGTTAGAATATGCAGCTGTACAGCCTTCAAGAGTTACTAAACGACAGTTGTATAAGTGCTTTCGTTGGAAGACATTTGTTGGCTAAAGTAGTAAATGTGCACACCAAAACAACAAGGCTCGGGTTTGTTGTATAAACGTTACCATGGATGCCACAACACAACTATTTTCACTACGGCGCAAATATGCCGTATAAAATAGTTGTATAAATGTTTATGCAACCGTTCAAAATTTGTCTTATAAGGTGTTGTATAACAATGCTATAAGAATATTTTATACACCTCATTTTAGAGCAAATATGATGCAGAAAGCAAATTTGCATTCCACACAACATTAAGCCAGCATTTTGGTGTTCAGGCAACAACAATAGAGAGCTTTTATGGCTGAACAGTTCTTTTACCAAAAGCTTATAGAACCACTTTACTAGTTGGGAGTCGTCCATAGTTTCAATTTTACAAAAAATCTTCAAGTCATCTGCATGTAGAAGACAGCTACTGTGTAGCTCCAAAACGACGTCATCAATGAAAATTTGGAAAAACAAAGGGCCAAGAGCAGACTCTTAAGGTGCGCCGGAAGAAGGTATAATCTGAGTGGAGGTGAAGCCCCTGTATTCAACTTTCAAGCATCTGTTTGTAAGATAAGATTTGAAAAAAATCAATAATTGATGAGTCACCCCTCGGGTAGGCAATTTCTTTTTTAAAATACCATATCAAAAGCCTTTGAAAAGTCAACGTAAGCAACACCTACTTGCCCCCCTTCATCAACAACTTCAGAGCAAAACTATTTAAAACAAGCGAGATTAGTTAGAGTAGATTTGCCTTGGCAAAAACCATGTTGAATTGAAGAAATTTCGAGCTTAACATAAGAGAAAATTATATCATGAAATATACATTCGAAAACCTTACCAACGTTGCTTATAATCGCAACAGCTCTATAATTCTCAATGACACAACGTTCGCCTTTTTTAAATATGGGAGCAATCCTAGATGTTCCAAGCCATGGAAAATATTGTAATATTAAGAGATGTGTTATACAGATAAGCTAAAGGCTCAGCTAAAACAAAGTAAAAATGCAGGGATTAGATCTGGAGTAGAAGATATCTTGGGTTTAATCTTTTTCAAAACGGCAACAACCTGTTTCTTAGTAATTATTGGTATAGTCAAGGGTAATGGGGCGCAGTCATGTGAGTTTGCGGGTGTGAAGTTTGTGGAAGGTATGTGGACTGGAAAAAATCTGCAAAAGCGTTGACAATACCTTGTGGTTTGTTAAGTTGAGTTTTATCAAACATCATGGTATCAGGGATATGAGAAGTATTTTTCAAAGAATCAATAAAAGACCAAAATATAAGATATTCCTTTAACAAAAGGTAGGTGAACCTAAATAACTTATTTACGAAAAATACAACTATAGCAGTGACAGAAAAGAAATCGTTGACCTTCAGAACCACGGAAACATATTTTGGGATAAACTGGGAAACAAATGAGATCGCGTAAATTTACACATCGCGCACTGCTGTTTGTTAGGACGGGGCTAAATGAGTTCTGAATACATAATAGTTCAGTCATTGTCATGTCCCCTGGTCTTATATCTTCACCATTATTACGAAATTATGTGTAACAGGAAACAGCGAGAACAATTTTTTAACTTAACAATGACCTATAGATAATTTATCTAAAACAATGTATGATAATTTTACTACTTTTACAATTTAGAAAATCAGTGCATTTTCTGGTTTTTCTCACATTTGTCTTCTGATAAGTCCACGTCAAAGATATGTATTTAAAGAAATAGGTCAAAGGATATAAACTTTCCTACAATGGTCCTTAGGTCTCTTACTGAAGATATGCAACCTCTGTTACTGTGCAAATCTCACAATAATTTCTGTACCAGTGACCTAATCTATATCAATTCAGGTTCACAATTTTTGACAGTTTCTTAGGTATGGTAGTTATGCGTATGGTGGATTGTTGGTGTTTTTATTGGAAGCAAAGCGTACACCAACATCTTGTTTCACAAATAAGTCAACATCCTATTTATATGTCTTGTTTGTATACTGCATATTACGTCAAGAACCGCAAATGAGTACTTGCAGTGTACCGTGTTCATTGAAATATCATAACAGGGTGGAGATTTTTCCGATCTCTTTAAAGTCTATAATTTGAAAGGTACACGCCTTAGAATTTTTTTACATCTTTCTGATAACTGTTATGAGTTGGTCGTTCCCCTGTTTCCAGCTTCTGGGAAATCCTGTGTAAGCATAGTTCGGTGGTGAGTGTAGGGAAACTTGATTTAAGGAAAATTCTTTAAAAATGTTTTATTGAATCAGCCTCACAATCTATAGCAGCTTCTGATGGCACAGCTCCCATTTTCAAACAATAATTAAATAAATACTGGTCCCCCGATCAACTTTGGGAAGTTACTGGTGGCTTACTTATTCTTCTTGAAGAAATTTTCACTGAAAAAAGGATAAAATTATTTCAATTTCATAAAAATCTGAGCTGGAAGTATTATCAGTGCTACACCAGCACAAACTTGTAAGGTCGCCTTCAGAATTGGTCACTGCTGCAGTCTTTTGCGAGAATTGACAACATATAATTTATTATCAGCAAATCAAACTTCCTATCTCGACAATAGCTTAAGTCATGTGTGTGTGTATTACTGGAGCTTCCTCCCTGTATGATAGCTAGTGCCTGCTGTCGATCATACGGGATGTTCCTGAAGTTGAGACTTCCTTTTACACATCGAACAGTTATTGTAAATATAATGAAATTATTGTAGCACATAAAAAAAAATCTTATGCCAGATAATCGGTTAGGATAAAGGTGATATTGAATCCGGCCTTGCTTCTAGCAAGGATTGGATGAGAAGATACAACGCGGCATACGTCAGCATCCAACCCTGATGTCACACGCAATGTAATTAAGCCGACCTGCCTATTTACAGAAAAACAAAAATAACGCAAGATGCTGTTGATATTCAAATTGTTTTCATAGACGTTACCATTCCGCGCCGTTTGGATTTGTGTATCTCGTTCAAAGGCTGCTTATAATAGCGTCCAGGTGGGCAAAGTAAAATACTTAGCTCCAAACTTTGCAAATTGGGGAAGAAATTCGGCAGAAATTGGGGTAGAAATTTGTCCGTATATATATGCAACATATGACAGGCTGGTTTTGCTTTTTACCTTTTTGGTATAATTTTACTTCGCAACCTTGTTATTTCAAATGTAGTTGTTTCTGGATAGAAAAGCTCAACCTTTAAAAATATTGTACGTTTTTCTCAAAATTCATACAGCTTAAGAATCTTGCCAGTTGTTTATAAGATCTACCTGTAGGGATTTTTCATCATTCTTTTAATGTAAATATTACTTTTGGTCTTGTATAAACTGGGTGGATAATAATTTGAAAATACGTATTATAAGTTGCTCAAGCATATTCATGTTCCATGACCTGGGATAACCTACCATCCAGACACATTAGCAGGATCATCGCAGGAGAAAGTTACTTCGTTGTACACTGTTCCTGGAGAGCATGATCCCAATGTGGGCGCTACGCCATTCCTACAAATGTAGAACTTCTGGCAGTCATCAGGATGTGGGAAGGTAGGATGAGATAGTTTTCTGCCATCTGCAAGGGCTGTATCACCTTCAGGACATTGGAAACCGTCCAAGGATTCTTTCTTCTTCTTGAAGCACTCTGGTCGTGACGAGTCTTTAGGCCAGACGCAAGTGCTTGAGTTTTCATCGTAATAAAGTCCTGGAATTTTTCAAAATATGTTATACCACATTTCTCATTGAATTCAAGTACGAGTATATTTATAATAATTAATCGTAGAGGGATACATAAGACGATTTTGTGGGCACCCGTTGACGAAATGGCCGGACTGTTCAGCAAAGCTCGAATGTTTGAAATAATATTGAGTATTTAGAAATCACCACCTTAAACTTTACAGTTAGCAAGGTTTTGAGATCCTCCTAAATTTGAGTTTCTTTTCTCATCAATCATTGATATCTCCAAAACTCAGGTACTGGTGGTCGGTTTTACATTCTTGCTAATGTAAACTTCGAGTTGAACTGGCCTTCGATTTCAATTTTTTTGTTTACCATATGCACTTAAAACTTAAGTGAAGCTTAAATATGTAGTTGAGCTAAATTCTTTGCTTAAGGTTCTTAACCTCAAATATGTACTTATATCTTGGTTTTCACAACTTGACGGTCGAGAATATGTGAAATATGGATAAAGATAAGTTACGATAACAGCACATTTCCTGAAGATAATCCTAAAATATCTCTGTTGATATTGAGACTCATTGACGACAGCCTAGAATTTATTCATAACTTATATGGATAATAATAGCCACTGTCCTCAAGGACCAGTAAGGCTTTTCGGGTTTTTGAAATACAATGCGAAAGTTGTCACATCTAACTTCTTATGTAAGTTTTTGCCAAATCGGAATGGTGCAACAAACATCTAATTTGAGGTTGACCAAAACATATGGATCACCCTTTCTAAGCGGTAGATTTTTTATGCCAAAGCAGCCCCGTATGCAAAAGAATAAATACCAGGGCTGCTATCAGGAGCTTAAAGAAGCTTTGTTGATCCGATTTGCGAACTATATAAGAATAATAGGACTGGTAAAATTCTCCTTAGGTAGATTATTCCACAATCTCAATACCCTAGAGACAAAGGTGAAGAGGTGTGTCTGTCTGTTAGGAAAATCGCGCGGCAGCATCATGGAGGAGAGCTCTAAGGAGCAAAGCCTGTTAATATAGCAGTAGAAGAGAGCTAGATCGCCGACGGCTCGTCTAGAGGGAGAGTTCCGAGACTGTCCGAACATGGATAATGTCGGAACGGCAACATCCCAAACATGTAAGCAGTACTCGAGGCTAGGTCTTATCTGGACCTTGCACAGAGTGAGGAGGGTATGTAGAGAAAAGTAGCTTTAAGACCTAAATAAATAGCCTAGATTTTTCCCAGTAGCTGCCGCTATTGACGAGATGCGTTCATGCCAGATCAAGTTCTCAGTGATCTGCAGTCCGACCAGCCGAAATGAACGGCTCTATGGTAAAACTGAGCCATCTATCGAAATCGGATGAGCACTGGGACGCTTTTTGTTATTCAAGCTACAGTATTGTATTTTGGAAGGTTTAAACTGTACCAGCTTGTTGTGCCCCATCAGAGAAAAAGTGGTTAATAGTCTACTTTTTTCTAGCTCACCGGCAGAGATCGGCCTGTCTCTCTGAGATCCTGCATTAGAATGCTGTCATCAGCAAAGGTGTGGAGGGGATTGATCGTACAGGAAAAGATGTCACTGATATGTACGAGGAACGATGCGGGGTCAAGACCGACCCCTGGAGAACACCCGCATTGACACAGGGATGAATAGGAGAACCCTTCAATTACGACGGATATCTAGCGGCCAGAAAGGTCAGTCACCCATCTGCAAAGCTGCTCTGGGAGGCGATGCGATAGAAGTTTGCATAAGAGGGGCAGCATGTAACAGCTGATCAAGCCCTTTCGTGATATCAAGAGCAACGACATGAGCCTCATCATAAGTCTGGATGAGCATACTCCACAGTTGTGGGACGTAAGCTGGGAGGTCCCTCCTAGATTGCTGGAGCCGGAAACCATACTGTCTGTCGCTAATCAAGCCGTGAAGTGCAAGATACTCCAGAAACTCCAGATTCCCCCATCACCTCACTTATAACATAGAGCAGAGCTAGGCATGAGCAAATTTCCAGTTTTCTGGAAAAGTGCCGGATTCCTAAGATACCTAGAAAAGACGCGAAGTTTGGAGTATGGAGTATGCACATCTCTTCAGATTAACGGCATGAACCTAGTCCGGACGAGGAGCTTTGTTGATGTCTAGCAACAAGAGCACCCGTCTTACGGTCTTATGTTTTAAGGTTACTTCCAGCATAGAGTAGGGAACCCCTTGAATCGTCGGCACCCGGGCGTTGGGGGAAGATCCATGATGGATATGGCGACAAAGATGTTGGCAAGCACTTCCGCCCTAGAGTCTGGTCGTTTATAATCGTTCCATCTTAACACGTAAGCGGTGGAAGGCTACTCTTTGAGCTCCCTTCAATATGCTTGACCAGCGTCCAGAGAGACCGACTGCCATTGCGCTGCGCCATTAACTTGTGTCTGATTTTTACATCATACTGATCTTTGGCATGTCGAACCACTTCGTTATATTTGTTTCTGGACTCGACATCGGCTTGTCTGTTCTCTGCAGTGAGGTTGTGTGCCTCGATCTTCAGACTACGATCAGTGTCGCTTGATTTGTTGGACCAGTCGTTGGATCCTGGTTTAGGCACTTTCACTGTATAAGGGACTTCGTCCTTCATCCCAACGTAGATAATTTCGGTTATTGATGAACAGACAGCCGACGCATCTGAGTCAGCGAAACAAACATCTCTACAAGGAAATATGGAAAAAAAGTATCTGAGATTGGAGAGAAGCGATGCGACCGAGCATAATTTCCTGTTTTTCAAACGCAGGTTAACTGTAGCTTTACCTTTAACCGGTAGATAACACTCGAAATATGTCATGTTTGCACTAAAACGGTAATTAACTTTAACCAGAAGATCAACTATCAATTTACTAGGAAATTGAAGTTAAACCGCAATAGCTAACCAAATTTTGCATCACAAAATGTTTATATGTCGCTTAGCTTAAAACAGGCTAATCAAAATAAAATCTCGATACTGGAATTTACATGAATTTTACCGTTAGTTTCAACAAAAGCAAAGTTTGGAACAAAAAATTCTGCACATGATACGTGCGAATTAGTAACCCAGTAAAAGTGACTCGAATTATAACATGCAGCTTAAAGATTTCTGATAGAATGGTCCGAAATGACCACGGCCTGAAAATTTATCGAAGTTACAGCGAGGGAAACAGACAGAAAAACAAACAGTGAATCAGTCTGCAGATGACATCGTGCTCGTAAAAAAGTTTCCAGGGCAAGATTTATGTATACGAATAAGTATTTTTCAATTAATCTGGTATAGTTATAGTCACCGTTCTTGGCGGTTACGTCATCAACGCCACATGAATCATGTGTCCGTACTATTGGCGGAACACTGCGCAGACTAATTTTCAGTGCATCTGCTACTCTCTCCAGTACGCATGAAGTGGGTAACAGGGGACTGCTGTTTTCAGTATCTTCCTGGAAATACTCTAATATATCTCTCTATATATGATTCATGCGTAACGACGGAGTTTTAGAGACGGAGTCACACAACTAAAAAACGTATGTCCTTGAGTTTACCGAACAAACTTTCACACACAGGGGTAGGTTACATGTGTATGAATGCGGGAGATGAAGGTATATAAAGGGATACTGGTAGTCTTTATTTGACCCGCCAAGAACGGTGACTACAACTAGATATATATATAAGCCTATTTGTTGAATTATTATTCTGCGAGTTATATGCATGATAAAATCTTACCTGGAGGGCATGCTTGTGTTTGTGGTACACCATCCACGCAATTGTAGAATTTATCACATATATTTGGATCTGGATGGGAATAGTATCCGTTAGCTCTTGGACATCCATTGCTAGGTTTGGCCTCCTCTAGAAAGAAATAATAGGCATCATTTTGTTATTAACACTTTTCTGAAGTTTTTGACAGTTTATGATAATTATTTTTTCACGAATCAATCAATTGAATAGCTATTCTTTGAAATACAGAGGCACCACTTTCAGGATGTACTAAATTACTAGGTACCGTCAATTATTTACACTTTCTATATGATGATTTGCCGTTGATCTTGAGAGGTTTATAGCATTGTCTTCTTTTTTTTCCTTTGGTTAAAATGATACAAATTAATAATTTATCTAGTCATTCGAAACGAATTGAAAAAAAGAGAACGAAATAGAAATCTCACCCAGATTACAAATATCACTCGAAATTAATCGTGTTGCTTTATAACTTTGACACTATCTGACAATTTGAATTTCTTTTCCAATACATTTTTGAAGTCTTAAGTTCTAAATGTTGTAGTACATATAGATTAATACATTTAGCTGAAGCTGCTTAAATACTGTTCAGAATTAATGCTTTAATAATGCCTTGACAATACCATATTTTGACATTGAAATTGACAGACGTAACTGAAACGTCGGTAAACTATTACTGTGATTACTTCAACATCTTTAGTTTTCTTTGGGGATTGATCATCAAGGCAATCATAGGGTAACCGCTGTTTGAAATTTCTAAACAGTTTGCCTGAAAACCATTGAAGATACCGTATTAATCGAAACGTCAGGATATCAAAAACTGTATAGTAAGTCCGAAATAAAACTTTTGTAACCACAGGGTAAATTTCAGATGTTACATTAGTGCTTCGTTTCACATCATCTAATATTGAAACTAAGAACTGGAGAAGATGTAGGTATGTGAAGCATGTACTAGGGCATAGAAAAGTTCAGCAGATAGCACAAGCATTGATTTGGTTTATTTGTATTATAATTTTACTAGGTATGCTCGTATAGTAGTTTATATGAAAATCAAGCTCTTTGGATGCAAAACTATTTGAATTCTAAATCCTGTTTTAAGCGCACAAAAAGTCTGAATGTTACTTCGCGTTCCGATTTTATGATCTGGATCAAATAACATAAAACCTTGTTCTTCTTTTAAATATAATTATTGAGCTCAGGTTTATTGTATTTGGAACTTGAAATTTTATATTGTCTACTACAGATTTTGCAATAAAACCAATTATTACAGTTTCGATCAGCAATCTAAGAAATGAAATCAATTTGATTTTATTTCTCTTTTCTTAAAAAAATATTCCTACCGTCACATAAACTTGCAGCAACAAATTACACCAGGACGCGGCGAAATCATTCTCATCCTTACCAAATACATATTGCTTATATAAAATAAAAAAAAGTGCATCGTAACCTGCATTACCTAATCACATTATATACGCAATGTTTATGTATTTAGGATTTGTTGCTGGTATTATCTAAGGAAGTAATTATTTCTATCAAGTCCATTTATCGGAACATGCTGATTTATTTGGTAGACAGTTTTGCGATATGATGTATGGAATAAAAGATGGGATCAAGTTGGTTGACTCTGCACTTAATACACAATGAGGTTAACAGTTCATATAGTATTGAGTTCAGCACTAATTAAACCCTCTAAGAAAAAAAATAGTTACCAACATGTAGAATAGTGATCAATAAGAGATCAAGTCAGTCAAACAGGTCCATAAAGTTAGACCATAGACATCCTTTACCTTTCCTACCGGTAGTTACCATCTATCTGGCAACGTTGCCAACAGTAGAAGTTGGGGAATGGAAAGTGGAAAATCTGATTTCAGAAAACTGCGGGGGGGGAGTTCGTGGAGCTTTAATGAACCAAAATTGATACAAGATTAATGAATTGAATAACAAAAACTGCGGGACGTGAGCTATGGCGAAACGAAGTTAATTTTCTATAAGCCTGCTTGGGCCAAAGAAGTATGGAAGTTCCGCGATTTGGATGACTGAGCTGTGAAAGTTGGGGAAACAGTATGAGAGCAGGAAGTATACCTCTCCGAAACTCACTCAGTGAGACGGAAGAACTCTAATCTGCACCATATGCTAGATCCAACTACTACTAGATAACCCCGGTATGTGTACAAATGTAAGTCCCCTTGTATACTAGATAGCCATCCAATAATAATGTGTCGAGAACTATTTCCGTAAAAACAAACCCTGCAATAAACTTTTTCCGAAAGGATGTTCACTCTGTTTCGTGTTAAGAGGAGAAAATATTTAGTGTTAGAGCAAATGAAGAGGGAAATTTATGATGTGTGAAATATGTGCTTAAGAAGACTCGGGTTGCGATTGTATTGATATACTAATTTCAAAAAATTGCGGTAAACCCTCCCCCACCCCCTACATTCCCGAACTACAAATATTTTGCTCTTAAATTCTTTTTCAAAAATAATCAGGATCCTCTGAAACGTAAAAAATCGAAATTTGAACGATTTTTTATTCGTTTATCAAAGCAATTTGGCAACGCATCCATTTCCGCCAAAACAACATGTCACCAAGTTTTTCATAATAATCAATGCATCACAAAGTTAAATTCGAGATGAGATTGATGGACGACGGCAAGAATTCCGCGGTAATTCTATCAGTATTCAGGAATACAGTTCCCCAAAAGGTAATTGAGCCACTCGCACATTCTATCAGATGTTTTTAAGAAGTGACCCCTTGGAAGTCGCTGATAGCACAAGAAACTGGACATAAAGAGACTTATCTACTGTAGTATAGGTTCTTAGGGATAACCTTGTTAACTTACGTAATGCAGGTCTGTCTCTGCAGTCCACGTTAGCCGGTACTTCACATCTTTCCTGATTTGGATCCTTATCACTAAAAACTAACCCATCTGGACATAGTCGCTCCTCCGCGACACCTTTTGAACATACATAGTACAAGTCGCATTGATCAGGGTCTGGGAAGAAGCCTGTACCTTGGGTGCATTTAAACTGCGCATTTGCACCTGAAAAAAATAATGAAAAATATCACAAATACTCCTATAAACATAGGTCCATAGCAGTTTGCCGAAATGCAGTCCACTGACTTTGCTGTGCATCAAAGATTACCTACTAAATTCATAGATGGTGTCTATGAAACAGATGATATTCATTAAAGCTGCTTATAACTGGTTTTGGTAACAAGAAAATAGATTTGGAAAGACGCTATTCTGTACCTTGTGTGGCAGTAAACTAGTATACCTTAAAATCATAAAGTACGAGTTATTTTTAACTATTCACATAATTTACGGATTCTATCTGAAGATAGACAACCTAATACTATACGAGGGATGTCTTTTAAGTTTTGCATATGGAAATAAAACAACACGGTAAGTAGTTTTAAATGACTTTATTGTTTTTAGAAGTATTGTCCACGAATATTAATACACATCTGCATGCGCTCGAACCAATTTTCGAAGCACTTATTCCACTCGTTTGCTGGCAGATCCAAAACTGCATTTTTGAATGCGTCAACTGCTTCTTCTTTTGACTGGAACCTTTGACCACGCAGTCTGTTTTTGATTTTCGGGGAAGTAAAGAAATCGTTAGGACTTAGATCGGGACTATATGGAGGATGGTCCAATAATTCCACGTTTTCTTCCGTTAGATACTGCCTTGTTTTTTGGGCTGTGTGCGAGCTTGCATTGTCTTAGTGGAGGATGATTCTTCTTTCGGGGTTGATTTTTCGAAGCTCGGTGATGACTTTTGGCAAACAAATGGTGGTATACCAATCCGCAGTAACAGTTGTTTGCTCATTAAGACGAATTGTTGTAATATGACCCGCTTTTGACACAAATGTCGCGACCATCTTTTTCGAAACACTTCGAGAACGAATGACTTTTTGTTGGCTTTTCTTCACCTTGGAACACCCAAACAGCCGACTGTCGTTTATTTTCTGGTTCATAGCAGTAAATCCACGATTCATCACCAGTAACAATGCTGTATATATTTTTTGAGTTTCCGGAATTGAAACGGTCAAGCGTTTTTGACACCAATTAACCCTGGCTGCTTTCTGCTCTTCAGTCAACAGGTGGGCTATCCAATGAGAAACTAATTTTCTTACTCCTAATTCTTCATGTAAATTTTTTTGAATCGAGGTCTATGAGATCTCGCGATATGTCACATGTCTATCTTCAATGATGCGTTTGCGCACAGCATCGACGTTTTCCTGGGTGACTGCCGTTTTTGGTGCACCCACCCTGGCATCGTCGCTAAGACTCACCCGTCCACGTTTGAATTCTCCATCCCAACGGGAAATTGTCGACTGATGTGGCGCTTCGTTGCCGAAAACAGACAGTAACTCAGCAAGGCATTGTTGTTGCGATAATTGTCTCTGAAAGTTGTAATAAATTATGGCGCGAAAATGTTCTCGGTTGAGTTCCATTTTTCAAATGACTTGGTGACACTTAAAAATTCACTGAGAACACTGCACGTATTGTTGTGAAACTTTGAATTTAAGTTTACTAAAGAGTGAGGTTCAGATTCAGCACTGGCGTTCGATCCGCGCGGCCTACTATGTTTCTATATGCAAAACTTAAAAGACATCCCTCGTATTCTTGGGTCCAAAAATGATCTGTGATGAAATCTGATACCGTAGCGTCGTCTACAAGAGTTTGCCACACCTATGTCTTCCCTCTTCGCATTAGTTATAAATCTATTTTGAAAAGATTAGTATCTCGTAGATGTCGCTGTAGTCAACTATATTAGCACATAGCAGATATTTTGCTGTAGTGCCATCTATAATAATAATAATAAAACGTCTTTATTGAGCGAAGTTTTGCACAAGCTATTCTACCATGCTAAAAAATGATTTTTGTAAATACTCTTTGAAATTCTAGACTTAAAGCTTTAGTATGAGAGGGTAAAGCATTGCCCAGGATAGTAGCATTATAAGTAAAACGTTTAGTAAAAAATTAGGTTCGTGTGGAGGCATTGTTTTTTGTATCAATAAAGCGAATATCTCATGAGTGTATACAACTACGAAACTTTAACTTATCTTTCAAAAATGGGGAAATTGAGATAAGTAAAAGCTTATGAATATAACATAGTAAATTAAATTTTAAATAGACTATGGATAGATAATCATTCCAATTTTATGAACGAGGAGCTAAAGTAGTCACATTTTTTCCGTTTACAGATTAACATTAACATGAATTTTGATTTTTTTGCAATCGCTTGCAGGTACTGAATCTCAAAAGGGATGATAAGCAATGTCACAGTATGTAATTTTTGAAATATAATTAATGACTCGCAGAGAATTTTTTTAGTTTTGTAATTGATAATTTGATCAGATAAGGAGTAAAATTTAGACATTCATCATATGTTTAGATTTCTTACACTTCCACATACTTTAATAGTTTCACCAGTTAATGATATAGTCGAATATTTCTTAATTTGATTTCTATATTTTTTAGTAGAGAATATTATTACCATTGATTTTTATGGATTTAATCTAAGATTATGAAGTTTTGCATACTTGTCGATAGATCTCAAGTCTTCATTAATTTGAGCTTCAGCAATTATCATATCGTCATTATTAAAATTATTATATGACTGTGAGTCATCCGCAAAAAACTGAATATTACAGTGTTTAACAACCTCATCAAGATCGGAGATATATATATATATATATATATAATAAAGGGCAGTGGCCCAAGAACCGACCCTTGAGGCACTCCCGATAATATTGAAGACTCAGGAGAAGTGTTCTTCTCGATTGCAACTCTTTGTAATCTATTTCTTAAAAAGCTATTGATCAGAGTAACTGATGATTCAGAGACACCCAATTTACATTTGGCTATTAAAAGTGAATGGCGGGTGGTGTCAAACGCTTTAGAAAAATCTAAAAGAATTAAGGAAGTTATTTGATGGTTATCCCAAGCCCTGACGATATTATCAGTTGAATCTAACAATGCTGCCGCAGTATTATATCCCTTCCTAAAACCGCATTGTCTAGGTGGTAGTATATCACATTTCAAAACTTATTCATTTATTTTTGTATACATTGCCTTTTCCAATAATTTGAAAAGTATAGGTAAAATGCTAATAGGCTTCAGGTCAGTATACGAGTTAGGATTAATTACTTTGGGCAAAGATAAAACAAGAGACCTTATTTTAGCATTTATTTATGATATGTATTATGTTATTTGAGCATTTCAGGGATTCTCCGTCAGTTCCAAATGCATTGGGTTTTAAGGGATAAAATATTGAGCGCAAATCTGTATAATTTATTGAACAGAAACCGAATTTATTGCTACAATAATAATTATTTTCATAGAAAGCAAGTTTTTTCTGAACATGGATGAATGTTCTTGTTGAAAACAGAACAAAAATATTTGTTTATTTCTGTAGGATCTTTGAGACGGGTAGGAATCTCGCTATTTCTAGATTTTTGTATACGCATTAATTTGAGAGCTCTGTAAAAATTCACAGAATCGTTCTGTCGACTAAGGAATTCTAAATAAGCTGCTTTTTCGAATCTAGTTTTTTCTAAGTTAGATCTCTACTCGTATATAGTGCGTAGTGGAGAAACATACCTGTGACCAATTCTCATGACTCTACGGTATCATATAACATCTCGCATAACCGTTTGAACGCCAAACTACAGAATTTTGTTGTATATCTCCAGGTATAATACGTAATGATATTTATCAATACCATTTGACTTGGGAATTGCTCGTTGATAGTTCCATCTCACATGGAATTGTTTCTGTATAAATTATTCACTAACACCCGGCATCGCTCGGAGCTGATGGTGAAATGAGCCATTTGAATTCCAAATTTGACTTTCTTACATAATATTCATCTGACCTTTATGTTCCTCCACTCCCATTGCAGATATTAAATACAACCGTTATGAGGTAATATTTGTCACAAAAGACATTCGAAGGTTTGCTCAATTAGCTAATAGGTCAAGCAGGAGTAGCAGATTCAGTTTAGAACTGTTATTACATTGTAGTCAAGAAGCATTTCTTAATTTCAGTATCAAATTTGATGATATCTTTTGCGATAAGTATGAAGTAGAGGAAACAATCAGTTTCAGAACTAAGGGATTAAACTTCTAGGGGTTGTTCAGTGTAACAGTAGAAAACATTTTAGTATAGGGACCCATATCCGGAAAAGTGTCACTACGGCACTACGGCCCTAAGACGCGTTAAAATTTAGAAAGACGATGCATTGCCTAAATAGGATTTGATGCATTTAATTTTTGCCTTTTGTATATGATATCATCATAACAATTGTTCAAAATGTCTTCCTCCAACCTGAATGCACCGATTTAAACGTCGCACATGATTTCGGCGGACTTGACTAAAAATTTGATACTCGTTTTGAATGATTTCAAATGCTGTTGTAATTTGTCCAATTAAGTCTTGCTCTGTTTCTACTGGAGTTTCGTAAACCAAAGACTTTACATTCCCCACAGGAAAAAATCTAGTGACGTTAAATCGGGTGACCTAGGAGGCCAAGAAACTGTTCCACCTTTGGCAATCCAACGGTGTCCAAACCGCTGAGCCAAATACTCACGTACTTGTACGTATTGCTGGAACCACATTTGCTGTCGAACGTTCAACGGAACATTTTCAAGAAGTTCTAGCAGAACTTCCTCCAAGAAACACCGGTAAATAGATCCTGTTAACCGTTCCGGTAGAAGGTATGGCTCAATCAAATAGTCATCAACAATGCCTGCCCATACGTTGACAGACCAACGTTGCTGATGTTTTCTAGGAAAAATTGCATGGCGATTTTCTTTGTCCCAAACGTGGCTATTCCTACTATTAAAAATACCGTCTCTTGTGAAAGAGGCTTCATCGGTCCATAAAACATAGCGTAAAAGATTTGTTTGTGCAGCGATTTGATGAAGAAGCCATTGACAAAATTGAACTCTAGGGTGATAATCAATTCACACAATTCAATCCTTGGACTTTCTGGAAGTGGTAAGGATAAAGTTGTTGCTCGTGTAGCACTCGCCAGATGGAAGCGTTACTCGTATTCATATCCTCAGCAATGTGTCGTGTGCTACTTGATGGTTCGACGGCAACTCGCTGAAGGACCTCTTCTTCAAATTCGACCGTTCTTACGGTTCGAGCAACACCAGTATCATGCATATTGGTTTTAAACATGCCTGTCTCGGAGAGCCGCCGATGAATAGCAATAAACTTTCTGTACCCCGGATGCTGTCGTTCGGGATAACGTTCTTGATACAACCGCGCTGCTGCCCTATGCCAAATGCATATACGCCAATTCTTGATTGGTAAAGTTTTCCATTAGCAACAATTAATTTTTTTTAAATTCTTGGAAACTTCACAAATACGATAGCACGACTAAGATGATATGGAATGCAGCTACAAAAAGCAATCTCTGTTATCGTTTTTAAAGATAACAACACACAAGCGCGGGATATGGGTCCCTATACTCAAATGTTTTCTACTGTTACACTGAATAACCCCCACAATTTTGATCCCATAGTTCTGAAACACCCTGTATATGTTTTCGTAATTTAAGTGCATCCTAAAAGCAAGCTCTCCTATTTTGTTAAACGTTCGCAAGCAATGCAACACTTGAAACTTTTCGTGATGATCATCCCTCATGTTTGTCTGTCCGAATTGATTCACATATGTGCTTGAAATTCCATACAATGAAGAAGGGTTTTAAGCTAATATGTGGTTTGATTCGGCCAGACAAACATGGGGGATGATTACCGAAAGCGTTTGTTTTCAATAATTAATACATCAATATAAAGCATACACGTTGATCTATTTAGTCGTCATTCTCATCAATGTTTTTGTTTGCCATGTTATGTCAGCTCGCGGCCAGGTCCTCGAGGAAGCATTGAACATCTTTGGTTCTAAATTCCACGCCTGAGTTCTTTTCAGAGTTCCACTATATCTACTACCACCTGTTCTTTGAGCTAAAAAAGTACATTCGATGAAAAACGAATTGACTGGAATGAGGACTATTGAAAAATAGGAGACTTCTAGTTATTACCGTCGTACAGCTTAATATTGGCGAGGTGTTTTTTCGGAGTCATCGAGGACAAATTTTAGACAATTTATAAAGTTGATACTAAAATTACTATACGCTTTAATATTTCTGAGATCAAGTTTCCCCAGTACTTTATCTCGAATATTGATCAAGCTATTCAAGAGTTGTGTAAATGTAAAATGCAAAAATGTTTCCCCAAAACACAGATGTGGCGAAGAATTAATGCTTAATCGATTCTTTCTTCAAAATTTTAGTAACTTTCAAATGCGGTTTTCAGTGATGTAATTTTATCGTTTTTTTTTTCTAATGGAGCATTTAAACAAGCAATATTTGTGGTCCGAGCATATATCTCGGACATATCAGCTATGCCTCGACTATGTCTTGGCAATATTGTTTGCAATGTGTAGACACAGAATTTATTATAAGAAGTACCACAAAATCAGGCAAGAATAACTGACAAAGTATTACAAATCGCGGCAGCTTACATTATTCACACCACATTACATTTAGTAGAATTCTTATAACTGAGCTGAGAGCAAAATAGGTCGAAAGTGTCAAATAGTATGGCCGGGCTAGAGAAATATTGCCCAATTAGAATCGCCATAAACTTAAGGTATTGATAACTGAAACAACTGAAAACCATTCCTATCCCTTTTCAGCTCCCTGAAGCTTGAAAAAAGTATGTAATTTGACGTTAATATTTATATGAATTATCTAAAGAGACGAATAAGGTACGAATGGTTATTATAGGGAACAGAGTAGATCTGTATATCGAAGAAAATAATAATACACATCTAGTAATCCAAGGTTTTATTTGGATTTTTATCTTCAAAGCAATGTGGAAAATGTAATAATTACATTCAATATCACATGCTTGCAGCCTTGTAGCACTAACAGTAGTAGTTTGCTCAATGCCAGAAAGTTATTACAGCTTTCTTCCACGAACCCATTATATTATACTAGATTTCTCTGAAAATACGATAAAATTGGAACAGATAGTAAGTTGCTTAATGAAGAAGTTCCATCAGTCGTTCCACATTTCTTCTCTGACACGGGTCATGTTAGAAAAATCACGTCTAGTTCCGTTATTTGCAAGAATATTTATAAACAACTGAATATAACTTTGCAATGAGATACACATACATCTTTGGAAAATACATATATTCAAACGCTTAACTTAATATGGTTTTGAGTATTTTGTATATTGACCAATATTTGAGGAGCGGCTTTCAGTGACAAGAAGTTAGTAAATTGTTTTTTAACAAAAATATTGATGAGCTTATATTAAAGGCTTGTAAAATATGGAAAAAACTTACATGATACAAGAATTAATAGCCACCAACACCGAAGCATGTTGTCGATTTATTTGAAACAGTGATACAGCTAATATTCGATGGATCTACTGTAGGGAACCTCTAGAAGAAAGCAACCAGAAAACTGACTTTTACCTTAACCGTACACGTATGTGTTGCTTTCTGCGCTGCTTGACGCTGGCGGCCGCGAAGACCATGCTCAATGGCGTAACGTAGAGGTGCGGATATAAGAAAGGGTATGTCTTAACTCTTCCAAAAGGTTCTTACGATTTCTTAAGAGAAGGAACCTCATACAGAGTGTTCAATTGAAAACTTACCACCACGGATTTATCGAAAATGACTGATTAAAAGAAAAAACGCCGAGATATGCCAAAAGATTTGTCAAGCGGGACAACTTTTCAACCAAAAACTTCTTCACCCTCTGCCCACCAAGGTCATATCCTTAAAACTTTTAAATGACAAGGGGTATCGAGTAATAACTTGTTTGAAAGGTCTTTCAAATCAGTCGTTTCATTTTGCCGTTTGATTTTTTAAATCGGTCGATCCGTTTTCAAGAATATTGGAAATATATTTATTTATCTTAATTTGTTCAGATACTTGTATAATACAAAAACACACTAAAATATCACTTTTTATTTCAATAGGCAGCTTTCGATGATGCGTTGACGAAGTTCAACCAAACTTTCAGGCTTGGGAGTAAGCACAATAGATTTCAAATGGCCCCATAGAAAAAAGTCTAATGGCGTCAAATCAGGAGATCTAGCTGGCCATTTTGTAGGCCCTCCTCGTCCTATCCATTTATCTGGAAACTCGTCGTCTAGGCATTGCCGAACCGGAAGATCATAATCAGGAGGAGCGCCGACTTGCTGGAAATATATTTCAGCCTCATCATGTGTAAGGTTTCCATCCTCTTCGATTTGATTTTCAACGGTTTCAATGATAAGCAGATTGATGGTATTTTCCAACATATCCAAATAAAAGTCTCCATTCAAAATTCCATTAATAAAATAATTGACCATACATTAATTTTTTGGAGGCAGTGGGTATGCCCTTCTACAACAGCATGCGGATTTTCATTGCTCCAATACCTGCAGGTATGCTTATTAACTAATCTACTTAGATAAAATCTGCATTCAACAATGAAACAGATATTCTTTACATGAGTGGTATTATCATTAATCGCTGCAGTCATTTGTTCTCAAAACTCAACTCGCCTATGGAAATCATCTTCGGTTAACTCTTGCAATATTTTCATTTTGAATGGATGAAATTTATGGAGTTTAGTAACAGTGTGTACTTGAGCTGCCTCATCCAAAACTCTCCGATGATCACGTTTTCAACAGATCCAGTTTGAATACATTTAGTAACAAGGTCCAAAACATACCTATGCGAAGTTATCTTCCCTGGATGTCTGGCGTTAAACGTGACGGCGGTTTGCCGCGCACATTGATTTTGGGCACCATAAATTAGAATTATTTCCACTCTCTCGGCTAGTGTGTAAACCATTTTGGAAGTAAAATCTGAATCAATAAATTAATTTTCACTATTGTCACAAAGGTAACTGACAGCAAATTAAATGCGTTCTTTCCCTTAGCAACAAATAACTAAACAGGTATAACAATAAAAACAGTTCGCTCAGGATATCTGTGCTGCTGAAAAGAATGCGGGAAAAATTCGGGTTGTTATGTGGTTGTTGCCATGTCTAACCCTCTGAATTGCTGTTTATTTTGGTAGTTTCCGTTTTAGATTATAAACGAATTGTAGATTTGGCCAATCCTGACGGGAAACATTTTGAACACTTATTGAAATAAAAAGTGATATTTCCGTGTGTTTTTGTTTTCTATCTAACAAATTAAGATAAATATAGATTTTTCTAATTTTCGTAAGATCTTTCAAACAAACTATTACTCGAAACGAAAGTAGGTTATGGTTAAAAAGTTGTGCGCCTTGACAAATCTTTTGATGTGTCTCGGCGTTTTTTCTTTTGATCAGTGGTTTTCGATAAACCCGTGGTGGGAAGTTTTCAAATGAACACCTTGTATATAAAAGACTATACAATGCTCGAATTTATTGAGCCATACTTCAACATTCACGCTAGCTTTTAATGTGTAATCGGTCTATAGCTACATTACAAAATACATCTAAAAAAGTAATTTACAAAAATTATAGGCAACTATACGCTATACCGGGTGTTTCAAATTTGACTACCGTTGTTGATCACGAAACGGTAAGGGTATACGAAGTCGCTTTAATGGGGGCAAACTTATGTATTTAGCTGACTAACAAAATGCCGCTCAGAAGACATCGAAATTCAAAGTACTTCCGGAGAGAGACCGAATTTTCCCAAAATCATTTTAATTTTTTCCTGACTTTATTTGTTGTGGGATTTCAAAATAAATAGCAGATTAACACTACATAGTTGAATAAAGTTAATAATTTTGACTCCAAAAATGTATAATATTGACATTGTCAAACCTCAGTTATTTCAGAAATGCATAATGTCCAAAGTAGGCCTTGAAATCATCAGATTTGTTTCGTATGCCAGACCAGACGTCAAACTGAGTATAGTAACAGAGTTTGAGAGCGTGGGAAGAAGGGAATGAATGAGAACACGAAATTAGACCAATCAAACGGGCGCTTGTGCACCTCCACATTTCTTAGACTTCAAGCCTCGCCATTCTAGCGAAGTTGGGTATGGCCTTGATTCCAAGCTCCTTAATGTCCTGGGGGGTCCAAAGTGATGGACCCCAGTATAGTCTGCCCGTAGTAGCTAAGAGCCTCGCAGCGACACAGAACGTGCGCCGAGGTCTCTTCTTCTACCCCGCAGCGCTCACACAAGGGATCTCAGCCACCTCCATCACGTGCAGGTGGCGCCTCAGTGTGTTATGGCCAGACAACAGTCCCACCAGCAACCTTAGGTTAGCTCTATCCAAAGATAAGCAGAAACGTACATCCTTAGCGTTGGGGCCTGCAATGAGTTCCCGTGAATGACGTAGATGTCTGGAGATGCTTCTCCATTTCTGAGAATGTTGTCTTGCAATCCACTCCTCCTAACTCTTAGCGCGGGCACCCCTAAAGCTGGCTCAGGACCAACGAGTTTGCTGGCTGATCCTGTCTTCGCCAGAGTGTCCGCCGTCTCATTGCCCTTTATCCCAGCGTGATCCGGTACCCACACTAACGATACCGGATGCCTCGCTGCTAGGCAATCCAGAGCCTCCCTGCATTGCAATACAAGGCTGGAAGTAATCTTACAAGCACTTAGTGCCTTCATTGCAGCCTGGCTGTCGGAGAAGATTGTTATCCCTCATTTCTTCAGAATCGCAACGATTTCCGCTTGGAAAATCGTGGTGTATCCACCAAGAGGCAAATATTGCCTAGTCCTAGGCCCCGAGACCCCGGCGCCAGAGCCCTCTTCGGTGACCGAGCCGTCCGTGTACTAGACTTGCCCACTCACTCCGGTGAGCCTCCGGTAGCCGGCGTCCCACTCCTCTCTCGTTGGATACTCCACATGCGGTTGAAGCGATACTTAGGGGTAATCACATCGTCCCTGCTCAGAAGGACAAGATCCTCCCTTTGGGGAAGAAGGGAAGTAAATCGAGCAGTGAAAAATGTACAGAGAAGTCAGGCCTTGCCTACAAAATAACGGACAGAGTTTTGAACATCTGCTATGATCTACCTCTGCTTATTTAAGATTATTATTGACATTACCAACAATAAAACTTCCATGGTCTCAGGTTTCACCGTACCTTTTTATTTCCTTACAATTTTCGTTCCAATAACAAATTCATGGCCAATAAGGTAATATATCACTTAATTTAGGACTAAAAACTCCATTTTAATGAACAAAATTCAAATATATCGTCCATATGAAAAAACAAAGTTGGTGATGGAAGTCGAAAGCAGAAACCTCAAATTGAAAATTTGACTACGCTATCCTGAAGAGGAGAAAAAGTAATAATGACAGGATATAATTTACTTTGAAACCCATCTCATAGAAAGTCAGGGGAATAAAAAGTTATTTTGCAGTAGATCTGGTATACGAAACAAATAATAATAATAATAATAATGTTTATCGGTCCAATTACAAAGTTTTCATATAAATAATAACGGCAATGTCCAATAAACATAATATACCCAAAAAAGTGTACACTTGTGCTTGGGTTTTAACCGAAGTTGGGTTATATTAATACAATAAATTTTCTTTAAGTATACTAGTCAAATGTACAAATTTGCATCATTTTATGATCAAATAACATATAGGTTTTTAGTGTCAACAAACTTATGGATTTGTAGCCTTGCTAGATGTAGGATCCATGATTTTAATTCGATTTTTAAACGTTTTTTTACATTTTATATGTTTAAGGTTTGCAGGAATAACATTATAAAATTTTGAGCGTAGAAAATAGAATGATATTTGGCTGATAGTTTTAATAAGTCTAGGAATTAGTGCAGAGGTTTCCTTGAATCGCGTTTGATGGCAGTGGCTGATAGAAAGCAACAATATAGGATTTTTGTTAAATATATTATTGTGTGATAAAAATAAATTTGCCGGCAGTCGAAAAGCTGAGATTTATTGTAAAGATTTTCTGAGGGATAAAATTTCTTTTTGTTCATCATAGCTGTCAAATTCCACTTCTGCGTGATTTCAATCTTGTTATAATAATTCTTCATGAGATAGTAATGATTGTACAAGGGCATGATATATCATGTGTAGATATTTTTCGCTTAAAAAACTGATGAAATATTTGACTTTCGGAATAAGGTATCTTAATTTTCTTACTAAATTTTCAATAAGTTTATTTCATCTTAGATGGTTATTCATGAATACCCATATGTATTTGAAATTATCAACCGATTGTATGCTTCTATAGCTATTCAACGCTTTAATTTGATTAAAATTTAGGGAAGATCTGTTGTCGCAAGAAAATGGAATAAAGTATGTTTTGTTGAAATTGACTGTTAAAATCCTTTCCGTGAACAAATTTGTAACCTTTTGATAATCTAATACAATTTTGTTTTTTAAAGAAGTCCAATATTTGTCTGAGTAAATAATTGCCGTATCGTCTGCGAAACCAATAATTTCTCCATCGTTTTTTAATTTAAAAAGGTCATCAATATATAAATTAAACAGCATTGGTCCTAATACGGTTCCTTGTGGAATCTAACACTCAGTGTACTGTTGATGTTCACACATTGTGTCCTGTTTTCCAAATAACTTCTCATGAGTTGATAAGTGCCTCCACGAAATCCTAAATTTTGCCAGGTTTTTAATAATTTTTGATGTGTAATACTATCGAATGCTTTGGTTAGATAGATAGAGAGATAGATAGTTTATTGCCCTCTTAGATCATGTTACATGATATAAGACTTGTCAATATGAAACTAAGGGTCATATATGCGTTTGAACAAATATGCCGGAAAAATACATATAAATCTAAAATAAATAAGGACATTACAATTACAAAAAGGTGTATAACATTTCAACAGGTTAAATCACAATATAGGTACAGCGTAATAATGTAAATGTGTACAATTATTAAGAATATACAATAATCCAATAATTTTTTCACGGCCTACCTAGGAAATTTTGCTATTTTGGAAAAAACAAGGATTTGCAATCTGAATGTATGACATATTATTCATTTTTGGAGTCAGAATTAAAAACTCTATTCTATTCTATTCTATTAAGAAAAAATAAAGTTCTCGAGAGACGAATCGTCATATTGAAATTCTAATTATGCAATTATGCAATCTTGTAATGAAAGAAAACTGGCAATGGTAATGTGCAGTTTATTTGAAATTCTACTACAAATTAAGTCAGGAAAAAATTAAAACGATTGTGGGATAATTCAGTTTTCTCCATCCCTCTTCGAAAGTACGATAAATTTCGAAACTTTCTAAGCGGTACTTTGTTGGCTGCCTAAATACGCAACTTTACTCACATTTAAGCAACTGCGCATCTCTCACTGCTTCCGAGATCCCAATGGTGAGGGTCGAATTTGAAACACCTGGTATATAGGAAGATATACCGCTCTGTACAGGGTGACTAGTAACTACGCAGCAACACAAACATGCGTTTTTAAGAGGCGGTATTCCGACAGGATTTTTCAATGGAAGCTGCCCATTCTTTTTTTCAAAAAAAACGCTGACAGCTTGTTATACAATGTGTTTGGTCACGACATACCGATATTTCAGGGGGGTATTTTTCAGCTATTTTTATCGACAAATCCACCCCCCTACAATGTCTTACCTCACCCTTCTTGAAATGGCATCCATTTTTATTTTTACGTTACGATTACGCTAGTGCATGTATGAAAATTGTAATAACCGAGTACATAAGTGTCACAGAACGATAAGTTGAACAATAGCATGTTGTTCTAGCGATTGTTAAAAAACTTGTATTGATACTAACCGTCAAACATACTTAAAAACAGACAAAACCTGAAAAAAACATGCAAGAAAATTGATTATTTTGTGCATTTCCGCACACCATTCAAAAACCAGTTCGTGAAGTTGTACTTTTTTTGTGCTAATTCTACAGCTAACTATGTTATCTACAAAATGACGCCAAATTTGTTATTCTAAGTCTTCTACGTTAAGTAATAAATGCTATCTAACATGGGTCAAAGTATATATAAAAATGATTGATTTGTCATTTTTCTTATAAAGTTTCTTATAAATAGTTCAATATCACAAAAAATTCTATGGACGGACGAAGCAAAATTTACGAAGCAGGGGAACATAAACCATAGAAACGGCCACTTGTGGTCTTCGAAAACCGCTCACGTGGTTCGACTGAGCACTTTTTTTAACGTAGAATTAATTTGGTGTAATTTTGTAGACAACATAGTTAGCTGTAGAATTAGCACAAAAAAGTATAATTCACAAACTAGTTTTTGAATGGTGTGCGATAATGCACAAAATAATCAATTTTCTTGCATATTTTTTTCTGTTTTTGTCTGCTTTTAAGTATGTTTGACCGTTAGTATCAATACAAGTTTTTCAATAAGTGCTAGAAAAACATGTTACTGTTCAAATGACACCAAATTTATCATTCTGTGATTCTTATGTTCTCAGTTATTACAATTTTCATTCGCGCACTAGCGTCATCGTAACTTAAAAATAAAAGTGGCTGCCATTTCAAGGGGGATGAGGTAGGACATTGTAGGGGGGTGGATTTGTCGATAAAAATCGCTGAAAAATACCCCCCTTAAATATCGGTATGTCGTGACCAAACACATTGTATATATTATTATATAACATGCACTTATTCTCAAAAAAAGCAAATGTTTAATTTTACGGTTTTAAGTTATCTCTTTTATAAGCTTTATTATGGTATAAAATATTTCAGCGACTTGAATATTAAATAGTTCTTTTTCCAGTTTTATAATTTAAAATAAATTGATACCACTTTATTCCTCGAAAGAGATGATTTGTAGCGGAGGGCCATAAGCCTAAAGCACCCCACAACGACGTCAAGATATGATTAAAATACTCCATTTCCACAAATAATCTGTTATTTTTTTATTTTCTAGGAAACAAGAAATAGCTCAAAAATTTAGTAATTGAAACCCCCAAAAATGAAGGAAAGCTTTTGTAATGAATAATAAAGACCATAAGAATATACATTTTGTATTTAAGAAACGTTCGAATCACGAGAAACTATGGGATATGAAGCTTCATTGACGAAAAGTTTTCTTTCTTACTGTTCAACATGACAATAACAAAACGTAATAATGTGTTTGTTATTCCCTTGTTTTAAGATTCGGGCGCAAAATTCGTCTTTCTCATAACATCATTTCGACTGAAACTGTATTATCATTTTTCCCACTCTTCAAAATATTCTAACAAAACGATACTGTAGTAGAAAATGATGATTTACTTCAAAATAACGTTTTTTTCGTTTGACAAGATTAACTGCATGGTGTTGTGTACTGTTCAAATGAAATGACCTTTGATATAACAGTTTAATTACATATTACTGCTGAACTTGAAGTATGAGTCCACATTCTCATGTATACCTATTCTTGAGCTCCTTACCAACTGTAGAAGACGGTTGTAGAAGCGAATTGGGGTTAGGAAATTCCAAACTGAAAATTTTCTTTGGTAGTAATATTAATCGTGCAACCTTATGCGTAAGTCCATAAAGGCTAATTAGGTAGGTGTCAACTTAAAGGCTTTACAAATAACTTCTTATAAAGTTATAAATATGCCGCGAAAAATGTGATTTATAACTTTATGGAAACAAAAGTGTGTCGTAAAACCTATAATTTGGCACCTAGCTGATGAAATTTTGTTTAATATTAAATGGGAATTGAAGACACAAGAGGATAAGGGTGTCATGTAACATTTTTTTAAATTACTTTTTTTGCATTGAACTAACGTTGGAGTGATTCTTTTATTCTGTGATTACTTTGTTGCAAAACAAGATAATAAGAAACTAATTGAAGTAAATATTTAAAATTTCAATAAAGTAAAAAATGCCAATAAAAAATGTTTAAAGTCAATTTTCTCCTTTATCCACTTGTGTCTTGAATTGTTAGTTTGAAATCCAATATCTTCCTATCCTCAATATACTGCAACTATAAGAATGGTGGTTACTATTTGAGTCGACAAACTTGACTGTTGAACAACATCGCGTCATTACCTACTATGTTATGACTTACGGCCATCAGATTCTCCGTAAGTGAGTTCATTCGAATGTAGAATATTTAAATATTCATGAAATTTTGGCTGACAAATGATTATTAATGTCCTTCAAATGATCTCTAAGGCACTTGTATCATTTTTGGTCGCGGCTAATTGTTTTTTGCAAAAATCAAAAAATGCCTAAATACGTCAAGATTCGAGGTTGTTCGGATATTTCAGACCGATACAAAGCTCCCTGCCTCTATAGGTAGTGTTAAGAAAAAAGATTTGAAGCAGATCTGAGAGATGACCCTGGAATTTTAGTCTTGACTATCGTATGGACGAAAATTAGTTTCACTTTTACCTTATTTTAATACTGATAATAAATCATGCCCCAAATATGGTCTAGAATGGTCTTTATAACCAATTTAAAGCAATAGACATATTTTCTTAAATTTTTATTAATAAATCACACTTTTTACAAACACACTATACAGTACGAGCTACAAAATAATCAGTACAAAAGTCCACGCGTACAAAAATAGGAATGGAGCCCAACATATGGAAACACTGTCTCTTAGGGATTTCAGGTTTAATATATTTTTGACTGTACTATTGGAGTGAATGCGAAAGAATTAAAAATAATTAGTCTATAAATTGTTTATCTCCTCCTATTCTTCTTTTGTGGTTTAGCTGCTTGAGCTGGGTCGTCTTTGTACCAATCCTCACTGAAAAAATAACAAAAAAGCTTGTTATTAAAAACTTTTTCACTTGATATTCCAAAAGAGATGTTGCGCCTTTCTGAAAGGTGAATGTAAAAATATTCATTTCGGCTAGCAGACGTCAGAACAGAAATCCAAGTGGCATTCTTTCAATTTCTGTTTATATAATTAACCAAAATTTGATTCGTTACCATCGTTCCTATTTTTGAGTAATTTGCCATTGACTTAATGCATCCTTGAATAAAATCTCGAGATATGAGAAAATAAATTATATTTTCACGACAATTGGTTGGATGTATTGTCAACCATATCCGTCAACCTGCCTGTCGGTCTGTCTGTCCTTGACTCCTCAATAACTTGAACACAGCTGAGACTTTGACCAAATTTTGATACACAAAGTCACTACTAAGCAAGGTAAAACTATGTAGATTTTGAAAATCGATACAGTGGTGGCGTTGTTAAGGGCAAGGACTGAAAACAAAAATTGAATAACGCTACAAATTAACACGTCTCGGGTAGTCCGTGCGACCTACCGATGTTGAACCACCGGGACGCCAGGTCCGTATCTCCACCGCCCAGGGTCGGCCTCGCTCCCTCATCGCTGACCGTAACGAATATAATTTTAAAATAAACCGAACGTAATATAACTGATGACAAAATTTCGTGGGAAGTACATGGTCAACATGCTTAAACGCCAATTTTATGGTCATTTCTTCAAATATAACTTACCAGCCAGGTACATTTTCTGGAGCATCACACCTTTGACTTTCCTCATTGTACACCTCACCAACTTGGCAACCTAAGTCTCTAGGTTCAACTCCATTCAAGCAGACGTAGAATCTCTGACAATCGGTGGGATGTGCGAATTTAGGGTGTACAACGAGTTGTCCATTGGCATCCTTTTGACCTTCCTTCGGGCATGTGAATCCGTCTTTCAATGTATCTAGAATTGAGAAGATTATGCTTATCAACTCAGCTTCAAAATTATAATATATATTGACGGGAGGAAGAGAAGGCACGAGGGTTGATCTAGAAATAAGATCACCAGCTACACTGGAAGGTGCGAGGCAAAATCCGACAACACCGCTATGTATTGCTATTCTTCCACTCCTGACATCCCCCGACCGCGCTTTGGTGCATCGCCCAATCTTGGCTCAGTAGCCGTCGGATATGGAGGTTCCCATTTTTGATCCCGTCAAGTGCAAGATTCGTTCCATAATTCCGGGAGAACGGTCTTCTTTGAAAAATCACCCCATTCGAAAAGCAACTCCCTGAGAGGCACCCGTAGAAAGAGGTATAATAAAAAAAAAGTTCAACTATGAGAAAGGAAACACTAAAAAGACGACATAATTTGAATAAAAATTGTACAAAATAATATTTAGTAAGCATAAAAGAAACTTGCTCTTTTAATTTTTATTCGCCAAATATTAACCGGAAAATAGTTATTTTCATATTATTATTTAATCGTTAAAAGAATGCAACGCTGTTAATTTAAATAACATATTACCTTTCGCTAATTTCATCCTTATGACGCTCGGTACAATTTTTATAGAAAAAAGTTCTAGGATGCAACTAGCTGAAAATTTACTATCATGTTCACGTTGATCGAAAGGTGTCAATTAAGAGAACTAAGAACAACTTTAAGCACCATTGAAATCCAGAACAGACCAAGCAATATGTCAGCTATAGCGGCATTTACACGCTGTTCCTTAATCATATGCGAATATTTAAGGGTGTGAATCTACATGAAAAATTAGTGTTAGTTTGCTTTATAAACTATGGTCCAAAAATGTTTCCTTACAAAAACTCGGGGTGTTGAAGTTTTAGGAAAAAAGAAATGGTAATTATTTAATATTTTCAGAACCGCTTCAGATATTTCACTGATATCTAGTACGTAGTGAAAGTCAGTAAATTTGCATATTTTTCAATGCAAAAATAATTTTTAGCTTTAACAGTGGCGTGCTTACGGGTATTGACTTCGATATTTTTTAATAAAAAAATGGTACGTCTATGGTTTTTTGCCAAAATTTTGGAATTCCCCGTTCAATTTAAAACAAATGATCTCTCTTGAATTGTATTCCTTCGATGCACCTTTTTTGAGTAAAAAAAATAAAACCCGTTCTGTTGTCTAACTTGCAAAATGATCATTAATTTAATTGGAAAAATTAAACACATTAGGGGTAATGAACAACAACAACTGACAACATAGACATAACATTAAAACCAACGAAATGATTACAAAAATTGTTGAAAATGGTCCACTTCACGGAGTATGCATGCGTCCTTCGCATGGAATTGAGCACTCGTTGAAATATTCCTGGAGTATTGTTTATTCTATCACAAGCTGCAACTTTTCTTTCTCTTAATTCCTCTACAGTGTTAATGGGACTTGTGTACACTAGTGTCTTAAGATAGCCCCACAAAAACAAAATCTAAACTGTTGAGGTCTGGGGACCTTGGTGGCCATTCTTGGAGCCCTCCGCGGCCAATCCAACGATTTGGATAAACAGTTTGTAAATAATTACGAACCGTTACACTGAAATGCGCTGGTGCACCATCATGGAATGTACCTCATATTGTTTCTTATTACTAACGGAACATCATCAAGCAGCAAAGGCAACTGTTGTTGAAGAAAATTGGGGTAAGTATGTCCGTCAAGTCGTCCAGGCAAGAAGAATGGGCCAATAAAGTGATTGCCAATAATTCCTGCCCATACGTTAACCGAAAATTGGCGTTGGAAATGGATTTTGGTTACGGCATAGGGATTTTCTTCTGCCCACAAATGATTATTGTGGAAATTCTGAATGGCATTTCGAGAAAAATTAGCTTCGTTCGTGATTCAAACTGCGGATTTTGTGTAATTTTTTGAAGATACCACTGACAAAAGGTCACACGCCTTGGAAAATCAATGGGAAGTAATGCCTGTACTCAATATGGTACGGATATAACAAAAAATCCACTAAAATTCTCCAAACAATTTGATGGAAAATATTTCTAGCGATGATCCTCGTATTCATTTCAGGATGTTCTTCGACTTCGTGCAGCACTGCTTTTTCAATTTCAGGTGTCCTCACACTTAGAGGTCTACGTTCAGATGTTCCTTTTCGGACAGAACCAGTTTCAACAAGACGACGATGAATATTAGAAAAGGTTCGACTATCTGGCAATGCACGATCGGGATATCTTTGGTGATAAATCCGTCAGGCTTGCTCACCATTAGCGTCGGTAAGGCTATATACGTAATGCATTTCCGCCATTTCTGCATTTGAATAATTCACCATTATTAAAAAGATAGTATAAACTAAATAATGAAAAAGATGTTACAGCGATCAGATTTGAATAAGAGAGACTTGTCAGATGACAAAAGCCAGTGACATATTCCAGAGCAACTAGATGTTTATTGCTAAATTGCATTTTTCAATTATTACATTAATTTTCTAGGACAAAAGAACGGTTTTTATTTGGTTACTCAAAAATGACGCATCGAAGGAAAACAATTCAAGACAGATCGTTTGTTTTAAATTGAACGGGGAATTCAAAAATAATTTTTATTTGGCAAAAAACTATTGGCGTACCATTTTTTTCTTAAAAAATATGGAAGTCAATACCCGTACGCACGCCACTGTTAAAGCTAAAAATTATTTTTGCATCGAAAAATGTGCAACTTTATTAACTTTCACTACGTACGTCAGTGAAATATCTGAAGCGGTTCTGAAAATATTAATTAATTTCCATTTTCTTCCTAAAACTTTTGTAAGGTAACATTTTTGGACCATAGTTCATAAAGCTAACTAACATTAATTTTTCATATAGAGTCACACCCTTAAATATTCGCATATCATTAAGGAACACTCTGTATATTAGAATGATAGTCAGATTTATTTTAAGTTTTCATCAACATCAACTATATATACGAGTACATATAGCAATTTTCAAATTTTGAATCATTGTATCATGGTGAATCTACATTCAATCACAGCTTCAATAGGATCTTAGATTTCCTATAAAACGACATAGGTAGATCTGATAGTTCTGCACCCTAGTATCAAGCAAAAGTTCAAAAGATTTTGTGGCTTGATCTCCATAGGCAAATCGGATCTTTCAAAAAGTATGTTTTCGAGTTACGTACTCAGTGTTTGTTTACATCCTTGTCTTCCAGCAGCATCAGGCCATACACAGGTACCAGAAAATTCATCAAAATGCAGTCCATTCGTGCAGGCAATCTCAGTAGCCTCTCCTTGGATGCAGTTATAGAACTTATTGCAAACTGTAGGATCTTCGTGAGCAAAGAAACCGTTCAGTCTGGGACATACGCCTTTTGGTTGTGGGGGTTCTGAAAAAAATCCTCAAATATACTTTCAATACCCGACAGATATATTAAGTCCAGGGTCGTGTAATTAAAAACCATTCGAAACAACAAAATCCAAATTTTTAAAAAGGTCTGATAGAAATTATATAGGGTGTTCCGACAGAAATAGAAAGTAGATTTATGATGCAACCATTCGGAGAGGGTTTTTGCATCAAGATCAATATCTGCGCATTTTTAAATTTTCTAAAACTATATAGAGTATTGCACAGCTCGTTGACATACCAAATATACGATTTCTTTAACTAGATACTCTGTAATTTTATAAAGTATTTGGAAAGACGTTTTTAGCAAGACGATGCCGTCTTTTCTTCAGCTATTTGATTATTTATCTGTGAAAAATGCCTATATTTGAAAGCATGAAACTTCGCCATTTTGGTTGTTTTTTGTTGAATTTTATGCAGTCGATGAATAATCCTACTAATTTTAACATCTAATGCGGAGAGTGCTAATGATTTAACCGGTGGTTGGAAAAACACAAAATGTAGTTTTTCCCAAAAAAACTAAATGCAACACCATCGTTTAGACCAGCTTATTTTAATGATTACCTGATAACTGCGTAGAGTTTAAGAAACTTTTGGCATTTAACCACCACATAACATTAACCAAAACAATAACTTCTTCTAGCAGGTTTTGTACTTAGACGAGGGCTATAATATGCTATAAATATCTAATAACCGTCTAATGGAGTCACGATACATTTTTTCTTATCTACGCTAAGCTGAATAGTTGATTAATTATGCTTAAAAAAAATATGTACAGTTGTTAAAGAAAATTATATAAACATTTGCTAGAGTGCTTTTATTAACGTCCAATCCGAAATGGAGAAGCTTCAGGCCTTCAAAAATAGACATTTTTCCAGGAAAATGATGTAAAAGCTAAGCAAATGACGATGGAAAACCCTATAAGATGTTATGTCATTATCGTGTTTTAAGACCCTGTATTATATTTACTATGCAAAAACTGCACACAATATTGGTTAAGAAATATGAGAAGACTATACATATAGATGGTTGTAAGCACGAAATTTTGCAATGTGTTGGAACTTTCAATGTTTCTTACAACACAACATATGGATGTTGATAATGAAAAACACTTTTTTTATCTTTCTGAAATATTTGGTTAGATATGCCGACATTTTTATTGAATGCCGCACTTGAATTCACGAATTAGGGTTATGGAAGTACCTCGAAGTTGATAAACTTACGTAGTTCTGTCCTGTCACCACAGTCCACATTGAAAGGCTGATCACACTTGTTCCTTTTCCTGATAAGGGGGTCAAAAACAAGACCATCTGGACACAGCTTTGCTTGTGGAATTCCATCTATGCACTCGTAATATTTATCACATTGTTTTGAATCTTCGTATTGACCATCTTTGGGTGGGCATTTGAATTGAGCATCTGGAAGAAAATAAGTGGTGATATTTCTCAGTTTTTAATCGAGTGTTCCATAGTTTATTGCGTATTCAGATAAATATTTCCAAAAGAAGGAGATTTGTATTGTAACTATAGCGTTCCTTGGTCCTTGGAAAATTAAGCCACAGTGACAGTCAATTCGGACCGGTATGTAAACACGGATTTTTTTTCACGCTAAAAAGATGGTGCAATGGCACACAAGATCATCGATATCTGTTTTGAGGGAACACTTCCCGCTGCGGTTCAGTGCGGCAAGTGGCCAGCCTGCTCTCCCCATTTGACCCCTTATTATATTTTCTATGGCAAAACCCCGTGTTTATGTGAACCATCCAAAGACTCTACAAGATTTGAAGAGCAACACCCAGGAAGAAATTGCCTGCTATGCTGTCAAGAGTCATGACAAACGCCAAAAATCGGATTATTCAGTGTATGGAGAACCGAGGACGTCACGTATCTGATTTGATCTTCAAGACTATGTAAAACAAAACTTGAGGCATGCGCCTACATTTTAAAAAACAAATAGAAATGCTGTGATTCATACACCAGGCTTTATGAAGATTTGAAAAAGGGAAGTTATTCTGCGTCTTGCTAAATTAATCTATTCAAAAAATTGATAGGGGTGGGAATAAATAAAACCACAATATAATCCGACCAAATTACAGGGAAGAAGTTAGTAGGGTACTATGGATTATGCTGTTGTCCGTGGAACTACTGACCGGATTTATCATGTTGGAAATCGGGCCATTATTGTGGAAAGTGAACAATCTAGCAATCTCTGCGAAAAACCTTTGGGATAAACTATGAAGAGAAAATCTAACGAATTACGATGGATATATTACTCCACATTAGAGCTCAGGTTACAAATGCATGCCGTTTATATGAAAGGAAATATAAGAAGCTGTAGGGAACGTCATACGCTAGAAACTACTCTGCCGATCATTGCAAATTACCCCCGTATAGCTTGCAAAGTATCTTTTACTACGTTTAATGGCTTGATGCAGCTTTCTTTTATACATCGTATTTTCGTAACATCATTGGTAATTTTTTGCGATTCACATCTGTTGTACGAATTTCGTAAATGAATGCCAAAAATTTTGTATCCATCACACACTTTGGAGCGCGTCCAGTTTTTTTTCCAGTTTGTGGCAATGTTATGCAGAGAAACTTTATATAATCTTAAAAGTGAAAGGTGTCTACATAATGTTGTAATACCTCACACAATGTGGATAAAACCGGTCTATCTTCACCAAATTATTTCTTCAAGAATGTAACATTTACAACAGCCGTAAGGTCTCGGTATAAACAGATCTTTATAATATACGTACAGGATATTGAGCGGTGAATCATGATTATGATAAAAAGGCACAAATGTTGAATAATTTTTTACAATATGACATGAGCAAATATCAGTTATTAGTAATTGTTGTGCAATTTATACTAATTTTATATTCAGAATATCATTATACTGATATGCCAGTTACTATACTTTTCCTCTTAGTATTGGTCTTTAGAAAAAATGGATAAAGTAGTATTATTTGAACAACTGCACAAATTGATAAAAATCGAGGACATTGGTCTATCTGAATAACTACTGGAATATTCAAAAGTATAAAATATGTTTATTGTTAAAAAGGGAGTAAAACAAGCTTTAAAAATTTAAAATCGGTTCACTGGTTACAAATATATGTTAAATCCCTTTTTCATACTGGCGGCCATTTTTTTAATTTTGGATCACGTGACCTGATTTCTGACACACTCATAGGTGCCTAATAATGTTCTGATTTCAAACTAAGGGAGCATATAACGGCACACGTGACCTTAGTGGCTATCCCTAGGCAAATAATGACAATGATTTCGAATAAACATTAAATTCCGGGTAAAATACCCTGCAAGATTGGCGTTCAGTAACTGGAAATATACTAGAATAATCAAAAGCGTTAGCGGAATTACACCCGTAGCCAATCTTTAGATTTGAGCGTTTTTTAAACCATATAAAGTTATATATTACTGAAAACTAAAATGGTAGTATCAACAGGATGTTTGGTAGGTGAACTGCCAACATTTTTTAGGTAATTGGAGATGCTATTTGAGGACATTGAGTGAAAACCGAAATGTTCTACAGGCTTCAGTAACCGAGATATAACTCTTTCAAGTTTTTATGCTGAATTCCCTATAATTACGCACGTCATAGAAATGATTTGTTATGCGGTTAAAATAAGAGAAAACAGTTGGTTAGGATAATGAATTTTTAGTTGTTCACCAACATATTTAATTTGAATCAACTATTTTTGATATGACTGCCATCACTTGATGAGAATACTGAACGTAGCAAACGCAACGCAGTGAACAGGTAGGCATAGGGACATATCCTATGCAAGTTGATTCAGGGTTAATGACATCGGATACTCGTGAAGTGCATTTTGAATTTCAAAGGTTTTATCCACTCCGCACATTTTTACGACTTTGGAAGGTCATCAGTCATTTTTGTCAGGCCGTTCGTGCAAACTATGTATTTGATCTGATTAAGCATATATTACAGAATGAAACCACTTTAATTTTTTGTAATTATATCAACAAACAAAAAAGGTACAACGATATCTATGCGCAATTGTAGGTAATTCAGCAAAAAAAAAAACGAAAAAAAAAATATCTCTGTAACCGTAGCCCCAATTACCTAAAAAATGTTTTTGCTTCATCTACCACATACCCTGTATATTATTGTTTAGTGTCGCTCTTTTTGGGTTGTTTGGCGGCTTCACATTTTCTTTAAACTACATAGATCGAGATAATGAAAGAAAATCGTCCTATTAATATTTTTCTAATTCATTAGTAAACCATCATCAATTCATATTCAACCCTCTCAAAGGGGTGGTGTTACAGTTTCTTTTTATGGTCTAATAATTTTATGGTTGAAAATCGTGCTCTACTCTCCATCTGGTTAAAGGTCATTTTTTATAATTTCTTTCGAAATATCAGAGCTGAAGGTGACTTGGTGCTATTTGTGGTGGTCTCATGTAGGAGTTCAGCGGCCCACAACCCGCAGTCGGGAAATAATTTCACACCCAGTGCTGGAGATTTTCCGGATCGTGGAGACTTTGATGGTGATTTCTGTTGTCGGAGCTCTTTTCTCACCCCCCTTGGGGACTTAGGCCAGCTACACTAAACCATGAAGCTGGTAAGCGACCATATTCTCCAAGTAACGTGTTTCTCCACATGATTTCTAATTCTGTAGATAGGAACTGTCTGCATTGATACTCCAAGACGATCTTAGTAGGACTCACGTCTGTGAGGATCAGTCCCCCATTTCTGTGAACCCTCATTGTTCGAGGTAATTATGATTTTTTTAACTTTGCTAGGTCTATTTTCATCTCGTACAAATTTAGAACACAATCATTTCGTTCAAAATTAAGCATAAAACTACAAGTAATTTTATTTGTGCCAATTTTAGCATCCTTATGTAACATTAGGGTTATATTTTAACCATTTAATTATTATCCATTGTTTAGGTCAACATTGAATTCGTCAAAAGCTATTAATCATCAACTTATTTAGTAGTGAAAATAGAGAAATGCTTTGGATTTCTCTTTGGTAACATATAGTGTATATTGTTCTGTATCATAGTACACTGAGAATAACATAGATAGTGTTATTTTTATATTGCTGTAGCTTCTGATTTTGGTTGTATATTTAGTGAAATTTGAGTGAGCCTTGCTCACGAGGTAAAATATTCCTGTGGTTCTCAAGTAACATTTTAATTGCTTTACTTATGAGTTGAGTGAGGACATGGAATATTTTAACTCCAGGTCCTTATGTTTTTTCTTACAGGAATCTGATTATTTTAATTTAGTTCAGGTGAATTTAAACATTCGGGTATTGCTAGTGCAATCACGATTTCCATTGCGCACCGTGATTGAACAACAGCGTTGTTTTGGTTTCAAATTTTTTAATTGATGTAACCCAAGACTAAATGGTTCCATTTTAAAGTTAAATGTTTAATTTTTGGAAGCAAAATAAATTAGCCAAATCGTTATTGGTTGCCTTCCTGTGATAGCGAAGCACCTGCCAAGGTATTTTTTATCTTAGTTTTTGCTGGAAACCATGTAGTTGGGGAGAGTAGTACCAAATCATTTTCTACCATAAAATCATTAGACCAAGAGTTCTTTATAAAAATAAAATACGATATTTTTAAGAACTGCTATAAAATTATTATTCTAAATAAGAAAAACGTTGTAATAATTTACTTAATCAAGATATAGTTAATTCTTAATCGACCATAAAAGAAACTGTAACAGATATGCTTCAACTAGGTAGGAATATTCTTCAAAACTATAATAAGACCGATACTTCCTAAAACCCCTTGTTGTGTAGCAGTAGTGGCGAAAAAGCCACTGTGTGACTAAAAAGCAAGATGTTGACGTTATCATGAATAATAAAACGTAGATGAACAAATAGTGCAAAATTTCCTAAATGGAAAGTAGTCAGAGAACAGTTAAAGATTCATTAGATTCTTAAATTTGATTTCTAAACCCAGTTTTGCATAATGTATTTTCTATGAGAAATTAAACGCTCTAAAAACCTAGAGAGAGATAGAGAGAGTAAGCCAATTCCTGAAAACAAAGTATAAATAAATGTTAATCAAATGATAATTACTTGTGTTATGGGTACGTGTGACAATTTATTTGAATATATATCGACTTTCTCCATCGTACATAGTCAGGTCGAACAATATCTACTGCAAGTATTATATCAATCCGTCCAATATCCCGGTTCAACTGGTTTTTATCTTCACTTCTGTTCGTTGCATAATTATTTGTAGTAGAGTATGTCACCGTTGCCGCATTCGTAACGTAGCTCATATATTCTAACATATAACACATGCATACACCATTAGTGTGTAGGTGTAATGATGAAAAAGTCAACGTACGTTAGATCATAGGTGTTCCAGTCAGATGGAAGGTGGTTGGCATTGTTACGGTAACTACTGTTTCGAAAATTAATTTATGAGGCAAGACCACCGGGTAGCATTGGAAAAGTGGTCCAGAAAGACCGGGTGCCGATTATTTGAACCTCGTGTATATTCAAAATCATTGGTAGATGGCAATCGCCAGATTTCCATCTACTTGTGCACAATGTTTCGTCTGTCTCCACGACTAGACTTAAGACCTCTACCGTACTGATGAGCGGCTATTGAGCAAGAAACCAGCAAGTAAGCTGAAAATTGGGGTGATGAAATTAACGCATGGCTACTATAATTTAACGTAAAAACGTAAAAATGATCGGGAAATTTACATAATGGCGAATAGCCATTCTGGAACATTTTTTCAAATAGAATGGGGTTCAAGTGGTTCGTTTCATAACCCTAGAGTATTAAAATCACTATATTCCAAAAAGGAGGCCTGGTGAGCTACCAAAGTTGGGTGTGATCATTGAATGGCTAGAGTGTATTATATTAATTTTTTATTAGAAGGATCTATCTGAATATAAAGAAGACATTTCAAAATCTATCAATTTCTTAAAGTGAATATCCGATATTTTATTAAAAAAGGAAGAAGATTGAGAGAACATTCTAGAGATTAATTGTTGAGATATAAGCGACTCAATATACAAAAATGGACAGATACTTTTGGAAAAGCACTGTATGTGAGTGCGAATGCATAAGTGATGCAGAGGTCTTTACATTACTATTCCCTAATTCTGTCAGTGTTTCAACAAGTCTATGTTGAAGCAAGGACCGTAGAAATAAAGTAATTAATAGCTAAGGCTATTTTTACACTTTAACCATTAATTACCAACTATTAACTATTTGCATCGCCTAGGCAACAGCATTTTTATTAGGACTAAATAGCTCATAAGAGCAAAAAGTTGTTCAAAGACCCATGCCCCATATACCTATGTTAGGCCTATTTATACCACTTGTAGAAACCCCACTGGCCATCACCTTGCTTTAACAAAATCAATTTTGGAGCCTTATATTGAGTCGGGCAATAGGAGATAAATAGAGAAATTCAACGGATCAAGTCAGTCAAACAGGCCCATACAATTAGTCCATAGGTATTCTTTTCCCTGCGCTACCAGCAGTTCCCGTCAATCTGAAACATCAGTTTGAGCGATTTTTATTTTTACGTTTTTGGCCTTTCCTCCGCCGTGACTTGACCAATTTTTGAAAACTATAAAGCTCTTTTTATTCTTTGCATATTATTAACCTTGAGTAATAATTTGAGCCACACCCGAGCAGTACTTTCCAAGGTATAGAGGGGCCAAGGATTAACGTACAGACAGACAGACCGTTGGAACTGAGTGACATATCGTGATGTATATACATGTCATATAATATCAAAAAGACATAACTTCTCAGTTTCGATTACAATACTTCCTCGCCCAGTATCGTAAGAAGTAAAATTAACCCGACATCTAACACTTGCGTATGCAATTGATGGTAATAATGTCAAAAAACGATTTCTAGCTCCTACACCAAACTTAGTTCCCACTCTTTTTTAAATTCTTTAAGGTACAGACAAGTCAGATAATAATTGATATCACAAGATGACAAAAATGTGAACAAACTGACAAACAAATAACCAGGGGACGCAACAAAAACGTATTTACTTCAAAATTTCAAAACAATTCAGCTTACTATAATGTAGGTTAGGGTTACCAGATGGTCGGGAACCTTCGGGAAGGTCCATACATTTCATATGATATCCAAAGTCGTGACAAAATACGAACAAATAACAAAACACAAATTTAAAACTGCGGAAATATGAAATTGCGTTATTCAAAAATCACTTGACTCATTCGATTCCATATTTTAATGTAATAACTTCCATTTTAATGATAAACGATAACTTTTTAATTTGTAATATTTATTTGTCCCTATTGTCTTCCAAAAATTTCAGCTTTTGCCCAAATATTTTGGTCAACCAATCTGGTGACCCTAATGCAGGTATTTGTCTCGCCTATGGCACTTGAAGTTTGTATATTTGTAGCATCTCACTTTTCCATGGAAGCACTTATGGCTTAAAACAGAAATCGATTCATGAATTAATCAGAAAAAATAACTTACTTGCAGTCGCCACAATCGCCAATACCGTCACCGTCGTCACCAAAAACTTCATTTTTCTCCGTGTGTGTTAGTAGGGATCGGGGAACTTATATAAATACAATGCAGTGAAATCTGCCGAAGCCGATGATGTTATGTCGAGGTGAGACGAAGTCTACCTCTTAGCAGTGACTGAAAGGTAGTGAGTTGGCTTTGTCCTTATTTAACAGTCTGAAGGTGTAGCTGTAGCAGGCAGTCGGACACCGAACGTGTACAGCCAATGTAACGGGGAGACACGAACAAGCTCCTGAAGTCTAACGATGAATATTTAATGATTGATTTCCAGCACTTACAAGCTTTTTACCGGAATATCTCAATATGTCCCGGTTTGTCTTTCCTAATTAACATTTTAACACATCATCACCAATAGCATTCAAAAATAATATCTATTCTCAAACTTGGAGAACCATGTATCTAATGAAGCCTTTGGATGAGCAGTATTTGTCTATGACTATGGCGAGTATAGTCCAGCCCATATTAATAATAGTAATAATAATAGCATTTATTGCTCAACAGATACAGAATCCCTTTACAGAGCAATACAGGGTGTTTCAGTTTATTGTTGCATAACTTTAAGATTCGATAGAACTTTTAAAATTAATGCATAAAGTCTATATAAACCTGGGTCGAAAAATGCGTGGCTTCCGAAATACAAGGTGTTTAAATTTAGTTTCTAAAATAGTTTTTTTTAAATATTTCGTACAATATTTGATGTACAACAGTGAAAATTGGTATACAAGGGTTTTTTGGTACGGCAAAACGAACCATGGGCATAGTTTTACTGTAGCCGCTAGAGGGCGCTCTCTACTGTACCTGTAGTGTATTAAAATGACCGAAAAATTTTTCTTAGTGCAATTTTCTGCTTTTTGAATAAAAAAACTGATTCTGATTCTGATTCTTCGCACTTTTCAACATAAAAAAGCTCTCTTGTGAATTTTCGTTGTAGTTTGCCGTTTTTGAGATATTTCGATTTTTAAGGTTCGATGCATTTTTAATTATTTATGATAAAATAACGTTAAAAAGTCAGTATCTCGATAATTTTTAGAAGTAGGCTGTGCCTGCAAATATTTTTGAAATTGAAAGCAGAATAAGGTTAAACGTCAATTACTTGACAGTTAGTTTTGTTGTCTGTTGAAACCAGAAACGTTTTTTTGCAATTGTGAATGCACGAAATTTAGTTTCTTTTACCTGTTTTTTTTGTAAGTTTTATAAAAATGCCATTTTTATTCTCCAATCAAGAGTTAGCGGATATTCATTTTGTGTATGGTTTTGTAAATGGAAACGCAGCAGAAGCAGTCAGAGAATACGCACGAAGACTTCCAGGCAGACGACATCCAACTCGCTCAGTATTTGTAAGAGTGCATCGCCAAATAATTGAAAATGGTTTTGGAAATCTCCACAGGGATCAAAACATAAATGTTCGTCAGCGCAGATTTACTCGTATGATTCTGCGTGAGTTTGATAGAGATCCGAAAACAAGTGTTAGGAGAGTTTCTGGTGCCTTGGGAATTTCAGCAAGCCATGTTCACCGTGTTCTTAGAAATGACCATAGACGTCCTTACCATTTGCAACCTGTGCAAGGACTACAGCCAGGGGACGGAGAACGAAGAATCACATTTTGTCAATGGATTCTTGATAGAACTGATAATAATAGGGAGTTTTTAAGTAACGTTTTATGGACCGATGAGTCATGCTTCACTAGACGTGGAGTGGTAAATTTTCATAATCAACATATTTGGTCGCAAGAAAATCCGCATACAGTTCGGGAAAGAAATTTTCAGCATGAATTTAGTGTGAACGTGTGGATTGGTATCTACCGTAATCGACTATTTGGATCCTACCTTTTGCCTGCAAGGTTAAATGCTGCGACCTTCTTGGAATTTTTAAAGGCTGAACATGCAAACATATGGGATGATGTTATGTTAGATTTAAGAAGATTGGCCTGGTTCCAGCTTGATGGTTGTCCAGCTCATTATTCGAGAATAGTTAGAAACTGGTTGGACGAAAATTATCCAGAAAGATGGATCGGCCGTGGAGGACCAGTCGCCTGGCCGCCACGATCCCCTGACCTAAATCCATTAGAATTCTTTGTGTGGGGATTTCTAAAAGAAAAAGTGTACCAGACTCCCGTAACCACAAGAGATAATGCTAATAGACAGAATCAGTAATGCATGTGATGAAATAAGACCTTATTTGAATAATGCTATACCACGTTCGATCATTTGTAGATGTGAATTGTGTATTGCACAATTGGGTTTACATTCCGAGCAACTACTTTAGATTTTGTATGTTTGTCCTAACTATCCAATAGCATTTTAGTTGTAAATAATTAATTTAATTTGGTAAAAATAATATTGTAAAATTAAACAAATTAATATTCTGTTTTTTTGTGTTTATTTGGAGTTAGAAATTATTGCTGTGTTTAAAAACACAATCTAAATGATCATTTTAATTACTTGTAATGCCCAAATCGAAAATGTAAAAAAAATATTATTTTCCCATAAATAATTAAAAATGCATCGAACCTTAAAAATCGAAATATCTCAAAAACGGCTAACTATAACGAAAACTCACAGGAGAGCTTTTTTATGCAGAAAAGAGCGAAGAATCAGTTTTTTTATTCAAAAAGCAAAAAATTGCACTAAGAAAAATGTTTCGGTCATTTTAATTCACTACAGGTACAGTAGTGAGCGTCCTCTAGCGGCTACAGTAAAACTATGCCCATGGTTCGTTTTGTCGTACCAAAAAACCCTTGTATACCAATTTTCACTGTTATACATCAAATATTGTTCGAAATATTTAAAAAAAAAAATATTTTAGAAAGTAAATTTAAACACCCTGTATTTCGGAAGCCACGCTTTTTTCGACCCATGTTTATATAGACTTTATGCATTAATTTCAAAAGTTCTATCTAATCTTAAAGTTATGCAACAATAAACTGAAACATCCGTATAATATAAAATACTGCACTATCCACAAAAATTTCGTGACGGATTCTTAGCAGCACACTTTCGTTCCTTTAGTGTACAATTAAATACGTCAACATGCTGCGATATCTCATTATAATGTGAAGACTATTGATAATACTAATTTCAACATTAGATTTATCCTAGCAGCAGTACAATAAAATGTTAACGATTGTCTAGGGCTTAACTGGAGCATATTGAATTTAATACGCAAAAAAGATCTGGAGAATCGATAACATCATACATCAATTCATAGAGGAATGAAAGGGTTGTCAATGTCGGCTGAGCTCCAAGCTAACAATTTCAAAAAGGTTTAGCAAGAGATTATACTCAATCCCTTGTTCTGGATACATGTGGTGCTTTTCAAACAATAGATATTTCAAAAAGTTTCTTTTTAGTTTATTTAGTGTTCGTTGTTACTGGTAGTATGTATTCGAGATATTAGAACCGTACTGCAATTGAGAACGTGTATGAACAAATTGCAGCATATGGCATGGTTACCTATATACAAGCTATATCTTGGGAATACCGCCTGAAATTTATAGACATATAAACATACACCTGTTAAGATTTACCACCAGAATCGCTGCAAAATCAAGCAAGAATGGTTGACGAAATTGAACGCTGGCAGAAAAGGCTGGACTCTCTAAGACGAGGGTAATATTTTTTAATGTCCTTTTTCTGTGTTGTACGATCTTTGATATCATGGCTTCAAAAAACTGTAAAAACTCATCCGCTATCCCTAGATGTCACTTGCACAACTTTGTGGAAAGAAAACACCTGTTTTTAAATGTTTGTTTCTTACTTACTGTGACTGACTTTCCGTGAATTTTTAGTATCTTTATTGTTGAGTATGACTAGCATTTCTGATACATTTTATAGTTATTACCCATAGTCTCGTGTATGTCGTAGTTAGTTAATTGTCCTAGTTTTGATTTCTTGATTTGTTTTTGGGTATTGCTGCGGCGCTAAAATTCTGTGCAGTGCTTTTAGCTACCAATTTTTAAACCAATGACTTTAAGAAAGTCGCAATAATTGTTTGGATTAATTTAGTTGGTTTTTGTGCTCAACTGTGTAGTGGTAGTAAGGTTTTTTATTTTAATTTATCTCCGTGTTTCTTTGATAAAACCATGCTAGCACAAACGGCAAAGAAAACAGCAACACCAGACACAAAATATACCTTCGTATTTTTCTGTCGATTTATGTCCAAATTTGTGCATACAAATACTGTGAAGCTTTGATATTTTGGCAATTTTTTTACCCCTTTATTGGGACTTCGCATCTGCTGTTGCATCAACGTTTTGGAGATATCAATGATCTTTCCGAAATAGGTTGGATACATGGACCTAGTATTGTTATAAAGTAAAATATACTGGAAATGTCCGGAAAACTACACAGGCGTCTTCAGAGACAAAAATTTATTCCTGCTTGGGCATTCCACATAGGTACCTACACAGCGATAGATTACTAAAAAAGTTAACGTAAGGAAATTATAAAATTTTGAGTTCATAGTGCGTTGACATTTCCAGTGGTACCGAAAGTAGATACCATCTTCCATATTTTATATGGGACACTCTGTACATTATTCAATTTTTGAATTTTACGCGAGATTCTAAATACGATCCACGTATATCATTCTAAGCCTGAGTCTGACTGTTTTTGAGATATTTGAAACTGTACGTATAAAATGACAAATGCAGGCTGCTGAATCACAACAGTTTTTAATCGTATGTTTGCGTTTCACGTATGGCTTTTAACGAGCTTCTTATAGTAAGGCACTTATTTTAGTAGATTTTATTCCGGATTTAGATAACAAATGCTACAGGGTGTGCTCAAAATAAGAATGAAAGTTGATTTTAGAAAACAAAAAGTATTTTTTTAAATTTCAGGTATTTGAAATAATTGTCGGTTAACTTCACAGTGTTCGAGTCCATCACGATTTTTAAAGATTATTGTATTTAACGGTGAAATCAGTTCTCTTCTATTAAAGAGATTAATCTAATTGCCTTAAGTGATGCACGACCTTGTGCACCAGCGGGTCTCAAGCAATTTCTATTTCACGATCACGACATGTTCTGGGTAGCATCAGAGACTATTTTAGAAAGGAAATAAAATTTATACGCTCTGTCATTATCCTTCTTCATCTGCTGGTATTAAGAAATGTATGATCTTTAACCTTTCTTTAAATACTATGTATTCGTCGTTGCACATCCTTTTCCTTTAAACGAGTACAGATTTTTAATTGCGGAAGATAGCGATCTCTTGTAAAACCACCTTTGTTGATGCATGCAGAGCTGAATT